ACTAGATGAGCTCCTCATGACCTCTGGAAGAATATGTTGAACTCTTTGCCCAGGTTCAGGGAAGAGAACTTTGTTCTATTGATCTGCCAATTCAGAGACAGTCTGCCCTAGGACTCAGGCAAGGAAGCCTGGTCACTTTTCAGAAGACACAGCCCAAGGCCTCCTGGAATCTTCTGAGACTATCCTGTTCTCATGCTGAGAATACTTATGTCCCTGCATTTAAACAGGCCCCTGGGTTGGTAATGTGTCAAGAAGCAACTTTTTATTATGACTGGCCCTGTCCAAGTTTATTTGCAGAAACTCAAAAAGATCAGAAGGATGAAGAAAGAGATGAGCCAACAGCCCCCAGGTAACTGATAATCCTGGTTGTGAAAGCAATGGTGACATCTGAAGATCTCAAATCCAGGGAAAATTAGAAAGTACCAGTAGACCTATTTCATCCCATCAGACTACCACGAATTACCCCTTTTAAGAATGCTGTCTGTTTTCTTGGGACTTGTCCTGTTAGTTTTCCACTTGGTATTAACTTCTCAAGTTTAGGAACCTAGAATCAGCTTGACACAAGGCAAACTAACCAATCTTAGAGATTTCCTGCATTCAGGGACACCACGTGTCCTCTCTTGTTTGGGGAAAACTAAGATAAGATGCATAACTTCAGTCTGCACATTTGGCATGTTTAATGGTGAGGATTTTATAGCATGATATATAGCTAGACAAAAATGTGTATATGGTCTTACAGTATTGAGAGTAACAGGCCTAGAAGGCACAAGATGTCTGGGAGCCCACAATGCCCCAGGAGCCTTTACTCACTGGGCCTCTGTAAGAAAAGTGGAACAGAAGTTATGCTTTGGAGTTGTAGGAACTCCTGTGGTTCTCGATGTGTGCTCTGTGTCATGACTGTCCCATAGAGGAGAGCTGAGTCTCGTTCCTCATTAACTTGTTATCTGGACAGGGCAGTGAGCACCTGCTGCCCTCCCTGCGCCCACCACGGCAGCCTCATAGAAGGACTTATCTTCTTCCTATTTCAAGGGATGCCCTCTTTACCTTCTGTGACCTCTCCCTTAGTCTTCCGATCAGAACCAGTTGGGAATTTGTGGTGTCCAGTCTTTCCTTGTTTAATATTCTGTTATGTTTGTGCCTCTGGGCTCGGCAGGGAGCTCCAGGAGGAGGAGGAAATGAATGATGCGTGTCAGGATTCTTCGGATGAATAGTATTTGACTCTTTCCAGTCACCATGACTTGTTTGACTCCTGCCACCCTCCCGACAGTCCCACAATCCCATCTGATGAGCATGAAATCTGCTCTTGTCTGGATGGAGCCCGTGAGTACTCTGTTGTAAAGAGGACAAGCTCCGAATGGTCTGCCAGGTAGCCTCCATGTTCTTTGTGCTCACACCTCTGTCCAGGTACAGAAATGTCTCTTTGATGGCAGGCCTTGGAGACCCATCTTGGTTTGAATCAGAATCTAAGATTCAGTTGTAAGCATAGACATTGGGTGGGTCAAGTAGCTGTACACTCTTCCAAGTCCCAGATCAAATCTCTGTCACCCTGGGACCCAATGCCAAGCACAGGGTGGTGAACACCAGGTAAAGCAGAGTGGGGAGATTGAAGAGATCATAACACACTTCCAGTCACCACTGATGCTTGTGCACAACAGGAGTCTCCATGAGCTCCTATAAAGATGGTCCCTCTGATCTCTCCTGTAATTTTCTTCCTAATTGAGTTCCTGAACTGAGCATTAATGACTGTCCAAGTAGAGTAGTAGTCTTGCCTATCTCTTTGGAGATGTTGTTACCATGGTTCCTCAGCTCTAGACTCTGGTCTCTCTCACCTCTGAGACATCTTGTCCTTGCTAAACAGTCTACTGAGGAACAAGACAAAGATACCTCTGTCTGTCCATGTCTGGAGTTTTTGCTGAAATCAAGGCATGGACCTTGGTGGCCCCACCTCTATGAATCACCCAGGATCCTGGCCTCTCGAAAGTGCCAAATACGCTTTCCTCTGTGGGGTGTATGGATTCCATCCATCAGTCTCGTCTTGGTGTATAGTCCCACCTATCTCACCAAAGACTAGGGTGTCTGCTGGGGCCAAGCTGACTTTTTCAGCAACACCTATTGAAGGGTGCTGACACGTTCCCTGTGATCTTTCGTGAAAAAAGACGTATTTAACTGTTTGCTCGACTCAGGGCAGAGGATATGGGGGTGATGATCTACCAGGGCTGGGTCAATGTCTGACTACACATTTCTGAATTTGTTTGCAGAAAGTCATGAAGACGAGGAGTATGTGGAAGAAAGAGAACCAGTGTCCAAAATGAACGATCAGGGCAGGGTAAAGGACAGGTAAAGTATGGAAAGGGTCCTAGAAAGATCAAGGAGTGCAAAGGTGACCACATCTGTGATGCGATGGTCACCCAAACCTGCAGATTGCACTCCTGTCATTCCCTCAACTAACAACGACATAGCCCTCTTAATGGGGTTGTGCAGTCTCTTTCTGGTACTTGTAGAGTTAGTCTGAACCAAGGTGAACTAACTACTCTCATGGATTTCCTGTACTCACGGACATCACGTGTCCTCTCATGGATGGTTGGTTAAAAGGTAGGGTGAGATTCATATCCGCTTTCTGCAGAGTTCATCTTAGGTCGTTGGCAGGTATTTCACAGCAAGGAAGGTAACTAGACCCCCCAAAATTGTATTATGTTTAATACTGAGAGAAGGTGACCTAGAAGATACAAGAACGCTGGAGTCTGCAATGCCTCAAGAGCTGGTATTGCCTGGCCGCTGATGTAACTTTCAAAAACATTTATGCATTTGCCAAACATGTCCCAAAATTCTGTTTTGAAGGCAAATGGGGGATGTTCTTATAGAAAACTCTGTGGAGGTCCTAAGAACCTTTGACTCAATTCCAATTATACATTTTCCCTTCTAACCCACCATAGGGAGTTTGATTTTCTAATTTGAGTTCAGGCACGAGAGCTGACCCAGTTATGACTAAAGACACGGGAAGGAAGAGAGCTATCCGTCCTGCTTAATCAGAACCTCAAGGACCTCCTGGGCTGCAGTGACCTTAACAACCTCCGGGGGCAGGGCTTCCAAGAGCAACTGGCTGAGGGATGCAGGCTGTCCCAGGCCGTTGTCAGCAAGCTCAGCCCAGGTAAGGCGGCCACAGGCCCTGACTGCGCTGAGCCCTCCAACTTCCCTGGCACACAAGAGGCTCCACTTCTCCCCTCATAATGTTTTTGCCATCTGTCCTGGTTCCCACATCACACTTGGGGTCATGACAGGACCAGGAGCGGCTGGGTGGGAGGACAGAGAGGAGAAATGTACAAGGTGGAGGTGATAGTGTTCCAAGTGCCTGCTTCCTCCATTATGGGCCATGGCCCTTGGGACAGGGGGAAGCCTCCACCCAGTGTTAGAGCACAGAAAGGCAGACATGATAGGAGGCAGCTAGTTAGTCTGAAAAGGGCCCTGAGCTAAGCATGGACGTTCCCAGGCTCCAGCCTGTGTTCTGCCTTTTCTAACAGTGGGCGAGGGATGGATGTATCCTTCCTGGATTTCAGTTTCTTCATCTCTAACATGATTAACACATGTGTTGCATGGTAGCTGTAGCATTCCAATAGGGAATGTCTATGAGTGTACTTTCGCAATGCTAGAGTCACTCACTGGGGTTGATTTCAGTCCTGGGTATGGTAGAATCTGGTAGTGGGATGTGGGTTTACACTAGAATACTTAGCACTTAACGAGGAGAGAATTTTCCTGGTGAACGGTAGACGCAGACGTGGAAGTCCCCACGAAGGACCAAGTCATGTGAGACTCATGGGACAGAATTGTTTTTCCTCTCCTGAGAGAAAGGAGGAGGTTCTCTGTGAAAGGCATGATGAGACACAGAGTCACTGAGCTTGGGAACCAGCCTTGTGGCAGGAGGGAGGAGAGAGTGGGAGGAGCCCCTAGGAAAGCTGGAGAAGCATCTCTTGATCTGGGTAACAAAATCAATTTTTAACTCCTTGCCCAGTTCCACCCAGAGCATGCCATCTGGGATCCATCAGATCAGGGCCACTTTGCCTGATCGATCAGAATACCACAGCAGCCCATTTCTTTACAGATAAAACATGACACCTTTCTGAACTCATGTAGGGATAATTCGTGTCTCCAGGCCCAGAGAGGCACCTGCATTTGTAACGGGTGAAGTGGAACAAGCTAATATCTAAATGGACTTTTCTCAATTTCTTTGCAGAAATCCATGAAGAGGAGACTGAAGAACACCTGGGATCACTGACATCCAGGTAACAGTGAAGGATCAGAGGAGGGTAATGTACAAGTCAAATGCAGAGAGGGTTCTGGAAAGAAGAGACACAGAGGTCAAAAGTAGCTACTTTCCTGAAACAAGGAGGCACAAAACTGGCTGATTGTGCTTGTCTCCTCCACTCCCCCATCTGGAGCGTCCATGTTCTTTGTAACATGTGGAGTCTTTCTCACTCACAGTGAGGTAACCAGGCCTAGAGACATCCTGCCCCTTCAGAAATGCCTTCTTCTCCTCCAGAGGGTCAAAACCCAGAGTAAGGTCCATACCTGCTCTCTGCATGTGGGCCTGAGCTTGTTGGCAGGTATTTCATGACAAGGAAGGTAACCAGACTAAATAAAAATTCATATTTTGTCTCAACCTTTAGAGAAGGAGGCCTAGAAGTTACAAGATCTCTTAGAGTCTCCAGTGTCTCAGGAGCATGTTTTTACTGGGTCACTGTATATAAAATGCAAAAGGAAAGAAGAAAAAAATGTGGTCCACCAAAAATGAGCAGATTTCTACTTGGAACGCCTTTTGGGGATATTCTCACCGAAATCTCTCTCAAACTCCTTATCATCTCTCATTACCCCATTTCCACTCTGAGGATTTCTCTTCCCTCCCACCTCAGGAAATACCATCTCCTAATTCACGATCATGCACGAAAGCTGACCCAGATACGCCAGACATCATGGGAAGGAAGAAAGGTCTATGTCCTCCTCCATCAGCACCTCAGGGACCTCCTCACCCACAGTGACATTGGCAGAGAGTGGGGACAGGGCTTCTGAGAACAACTGGCTGAGGGATGCAGGCTGGCAGAGCGCCTTGTCCACAAGCTTAGCCCAGGTAAGGCAGCCACAGGCCCTGGTTGCACTGAGCCCCTCCAAGGTCCCTGGCTGACAAGAGCCTCTGCATCTCCCCTCATAATTCTTTCACCAGCTGTACTGGTGTCCACATGGCACTTGGAGCCATGACAGGACCACGACTGGCTGGGTGGGAGCAGAGGGGAGAAATGCACAGGAGGACGTCATAGTGCTCCAAGAGTCTGCTTCCTCCCTGAGGGATCGTGCCCTTTGGGGCAGGAGGCAGCCTCCACCCGGTGTCACAGTGCAGAAAGGCGGACGTGACAGGAGGCAGCCTGTTAGTGTGAAAAGAGTCCTGGACTGAGCGTGAGCTCCTCAGGCTCTTGCCTGAGCTCTGGCTTTTATAACTACAGGTGAGTGATTGATTTCTCCTTCCGGGATTTCTGTTTCCTCATCTATAAAATCGGTCAAAAGATGTGTTGCATGGTAGCTGTAACTATTAAAGGAGGGAATGCTCACGAAGGTACTTCAGAAAAGGATGATACTCCTAACCGTTTGGGGTTTATTTAGTTATAATCCTAAAATCTTGGTGCAGATACGTTGATTTGTAATAGAACACTTTCCACAAAGAAAATATTCCCCTCTTATGCTGTAAAAGACTATTTGGAGTTCCCCATGGAGTCCCGGGATGTGTGGAGGGGTGACTCATGGGGTTTTCTATCCTCCTTTTAGAGAAAGGAGTGGGTCTATGTGGGAGTTCTGAGTGGACATAGAGTCACTGAGACTGGGAACCAGCTTTGTGGAAGGAGTGAGGAAAGAACTAGAGAATTCCAGAGGGAAACTGGAAAAGTACCCGCTGATCTGGAGACAAAAGATATTTGATCTTTGCTCAGTGAAACTCACAGCATGCTATGATGGGGATCCAGCAGGTCAAGGACATTTTGCCTGATGGGTCAGTACATGGTCCCAGGGCATTCCTTCAAAGTCAAACATGGGGCTGTCAGTACAATTCTCTCAGTGTGTCCTGACCTCATACACAGGTCATTGCTGTCCATGCCCAGGCAGGCCTTTGTGTCTGTAACAGGTGAAGAGGCACTATTTCATCTCCGTCTGGACATTTCTGAATTTTGTTTGCAGAAAACCTGGAAGACGATGAAGATGAGGAAGAACAAGAATCACTGACCCCCAGGTAACAGTGAATGAGGAGGGCTAATAAGCAAGGGTAAAATGTGGGGAGAGTACCTGAAAGAAAGACCCTGAGGGCCAAATAGCCCCAGGTTTCACATGCCAGGGGGAGCCAACACTGCTCCTGGTGCTGATTTCAGTCACTCCAGCAACGATGGCAAAGCCCTTTGAATGAGGTTGTCTGTTGTCTTTGCGGTACTTGTGGCCTCAGTCTGACAAGGGGAACTAAGCAGTCTCAGGGATTTCCTGCCCTGAAAGAAATCCCTTGTTCTCTCTTGGAAGGCTAAAACAAGGATGAGATGCATGTCTGCTTTCCCAACTGTTGGCCTTATGTCCTTCATAGGTATAGCATAGCCAGAAAGGAACTAGACAAAATTTAAAAAAAAAAAAAAAACATAAAAGGTCACAGTATTGACAGAAAATTACCTAGAAGGCACAAGATCTCTGGGAGTCCACAATGCCTCCGAAGCCTGCATTCACTGGGCTGCCATATGTAAATTCAACACAATGTATTCACAAACTGGAAGCCATTGTATTGGCTCTCCGAGTGTGATGAGTCTGCCTTACAGGGAGAGTGCAGGCCCCATCATCATCTCACTGTCGGTCCAGTGCACTGAGCACGTTCTGCTCACTCTCTTTTTTCTCTCTCTCCCTCTCTCCTGTTCCAGGACAGCCAGGCTTTGCCCCAGTCCCTTGGACCCTACCCTTCAATCAGAACCAGCTGGGATACTGTGGTGTCTAATCCTTCTTGATCTCTTCTTTTCTCTTCCCTCTCTTACCAGTCTGGAGAGGGAGCTACAGGAAAAGGAGATTGCGAAGCAAAGCCTTCAAGATCCATCAGGTGAACAGAATTTGACTCCTTCCAGTCCTCGTGATCTGTCTGCCTCCAGGGAACCCCTCAGAAGCACTGCCTTTCTGTGTGATAAGCCTCAAGTCAGCTTGACTCTGGAGGCAGCCAGTGAGTACTCGCATTATAAAGCAGATAAATCCAAGTGGTCTCCCAGTTAGCCTCCATATTTTTTAAGCTCACCACGGCTGGCCAGGTAGAGAGATATACTTTCTTCAGGCTCTCGGACAGAGTTTTAAGTACAGATTTCAGGAGGGCTTGGGAGCTGTGCTGTCACCCTAGTTTCTAGCTATGTCCCTCTCAGCCTGTCCCTCAGTGGCATCTGCAAGCCATTTTTCCCCAGGTGGGAGAGAGAAGGGATCATGACCACCTCACAGCCACCAGTACAGCAGGGGCACAGTAGGTATTTGTCAGACCTCTTTCTTTAAGATGACGCATCTCATCTCCTGCAGTGTTCTAGCTAATTGCATTTCCTGAGCAGTGTCTCCCACTCTTCTCTGGCCATCCACACCTGGAACAGTTTTACTCAATTATTCTGGAGGTCTGTTCTCATGATTTGGGGTTCAAAGCGGATTCTCTACTTCCTCTGGGGTGACTACCTCCCTCTGAAGATTTAAAAACGAGGTCCTGGATGCTGCATCCTGACTGTGCCCCTTGGTTTCAATGAAGCCAAAGCTCTGGCTCTGGTTTCCCCTCCTCCATAAATGGCCGTGGTTTTCATCCTTTGTGTAGGCTCAGTGACTTCTTCCATGTGTGGGTTAGAGCTTCAAGCATGAGTCACGTCTTAGTGTTCTAATCTCATGTAAATGTCAACAACCAGTGTGCCTGATAGGACCCTCGTCTAACTTATGAGCAAAGAAGAACATGAGGCCACAGGACAGAAGGACTACAAAGGCAGGGGGAGGAGTCTGCATGTGTAGAGTTGGACCATGGTGAGAACAGGACTTCTGGGTGATTAGATTATTCAGACGTTTGATCGTGTGGACATCACAGGATCAGAGAAGCAGAAGGAGATTCTTGGATCCAGGTGTCAATGATGAGAGTCTCATAGAGTGTGTTGTCAGGAATCTACATGGTAACACCATCCCAAATGACAATTTTACGAAACATTTAAAACAAACATTGGTGGCAATGAGGATGTGCAGAGGGGAGGAGAAAGGGGAACCCACAGTGGTGTGGAGAAGGCCCTGGGGGTTATGATCCACCTTAGCCTGACCTGGACTGGTCTGAGGCTATTTCAGGTCTTTGGTTAGCCCTCTTTCTGAGAATAGATTTTCATTTCACAGAAGAAATAGAAACACGTTTGATTAGGGACTAAAGCCCAGACCCCCCAGAAGAGTGTGTAACATAAGGACTGTGCAACATATTACGTCCCTGAAGAACCACACAAAGCCTGATGCTGTAGCAGTCTGGCCCCAAAGTTTCTTATAAGGGTCTCAGACCTCTACTACATTACTTACAGCTGCTACTACCTGCCCCCCACCCCACAAGTGGCAAAAGAATATATATGTGTGTGGGCGGGTGGAGGGCAGCCAAAACTGGCAGAAAAGGAAGGTCAAAAGGCTCCAGAACTTTGCAAAGATTCCAAACTTGGTCTACAGTTTCCCAACTCCCTTCTTACTGGAAACAGAAGCCTTGGGACCATACTTCTTCCCTTCCTCTGATATTCTTCTGGGTAGACATCAGCAACTCTTTCTCCCCCATCTCCTGAGTCCTCTCTAGAACCTTCTCTGTAGGCTCCTGGACTAAGGTTACTGGTAACAGAGTAATAGGCATGACCTCATCTGCCCATGCAAAGCCCTCTGGACTCCAGTGGGTGACTGTCCACTTCAGGGACACTGTAGCCTGGGCACATGCCATCTCAGCCTCCCCAGGCACACACATCATGGTGACATCTCCTTCATATACATGAAGTCTGAGTTTGTTTCCTGAGACCACTGACAAGCAGGGACTTCTGAAATGAGGGGTCTGGGAGAGCTTAGCAAAGGGAAACTCAGATTGGTCCTACTGAAACCACTTCTTGTTTCAGTTCCTTCCTGGGAGGCTTGTCAACAAGGGCCTTTCAGCGGAAACTTGAGTTTCCAAAGGTCAGAGATGCAAACTTCACAAGCACAGCTGGAGCCAAGCAGCTGGGGGAGCAATTATCTGGGGCTGCAGCTGGACCAGTTCCATTGTGGGGATGGCAAAGCCTGGCTTGGTCTTTCCTCCACCATCTGGAGCTTTGCAGCCAACAGTGTTTCTGGAAACCGAGGTTCACTCTTCCAAGGTAAGAGAGAAAAGAAGAATAGGGAGCTCTAGTCCGTGTGTTGGGCGTCACAGGGTTGTGGGGCAGAGGCGGCAATGGGGCCTCTCCCATGCTCGCTTCAGGTCAGGTTGAAACCCGTGATGCTCTGAGAGAGCGAGGTGGTGAGAGTGTGGGCTTTAGGATCAGCTCTGCCCCAGGTCCCGGGTTTGCGTCTGACAGGATGTTTACCTTGGCCAGGTTGTTTATCCTCTTAGGTATTTACATCTCAATTCCTTCATCTGAATCCCCTGAGAATTATGTCTGCATTCCATACTCTTACTCCTACTGCATTAATACTCTTGGGAGTATTAAGGACATAATTTCCACAGTCTCTGATTCAATAAAAATTGCTTGGTAACAACTATGAGTATGTCAAATCTACCCTCATATCTTCCTGGTGCTTTAACACTTACAAAATGATTCCAGGTGCATCATTCCGTCTGGTGCAGAGCAGTCTTCTTGGTCTCCCCTCTCTCTGGACCCCATCTTCCCTTCTCTCTCAGAAAGACACGTTTGCCCATTTTTCCCTCTCCTTTCAGGATCCATCTTCAGGCCAGTTTTCCTGTTAGGTGCCCCCAGTAACACTGCCGTAGACACATTCAGTCCCAATGGAAACACTGGTGCACGGCTCAGTCTCCTCCTTATTCTTCAGTTTTTTCCCTCTTTTTCATGTAAAGGGCCACCGTCATCCTTAAATTGCACAAGTCAGTCTCTTTTATGATACTCTATTTAATTCACCATCTCTACTCATCACTAAGTCAATGTCCTCAGTGTTTTTCTCCTCAGGATCCTGAGAGGTTGCTTAAAACTGAGCTTCCAAACCCTGACATCCATTTCCTCTGGGTCTTGTTCCTCCTCACCCTCCACCACTCTCAGCATCTCCTCCTGGGCCCTGGAGCTGCCTAGTGCTCCTCCTTTAGGTGATGGTGTCATCTGAGGAAGGAGGAGAGACCCATGTTCTCAAGTGGAGATGGGGCAACGAGGAGCACCCTGTCGCTTGTGGACAGGTCCTACAGAAAGTCTCAGTGAGGGTCAGGGGAGGCATAGCCCTGACAAGTGCCATCAGATATTGGGCTATTTAGTTGTCTTCTCACCCTCTAGCCTCTCTTTTCCTTCTCCTTGGCTTCCCTAATCCCAGCCAAGACTCAGTCTCACTGGCCCAGTCGCTCGCTTTCCTGTTCACTTTTCACAGGGGTCTGAGCAGGAAACCAGGCTCCACGCCAGGTTTTTTGGCCAAGGATAGTTTCTTAGTCCGTTCAGGCTGCAATCACAAAAATTCCATTGACTGGGTGACGTAGAAACAGCAGAAATTTATTTATTGGATTTCTGGAGGCTGGGAGGTCCAACATCACGGCACTGGCACCTTAGATTTTTGGTGAGAGCCCTCTTCCTGGTTCACAGAGACCGTCTTCTCGCACCATCCTTACGTGCTGGAAGGGATAAGGGAGCTCTGTGGGGTCTCATTTATGACGGCACTAATCCCATTCATGAGGGACCTGCTGCCCAAAGGCCCCACCTCCAAACACCATCACACTGGGGATCCTGTTTCCACAGAGGAATTTGGGGGAACGCAAACGATCCTTCTCTGGACATACCGTTAATGATCTTTGTGTTATCCTCACCCTCCTCGTCCTCGTGTTCCACGGGTCATCTGTTTCTCGCCACAGGGTTTCTCCTTCTTCTTGCACTTCTAAATTTTTTCCAATTTCAACTGACCAGAATAGTGATTAGAATGTCATATTCAATGTCTCCAAATGCCTATTTATGCATCTGTTCAATTCGATAAAAGAACACATATGCATATATGTATTCATATTGTATGTCATACATTATGTGTATCTTGTGTGTACCTTGTATAGAGTACATATATGACATCTATATATGCAAGTTTTGTAAACTCCCCTGCTTTCACCCTCCCCCATTTTTTTCTGTCCTATGTTTTCCCGTGCACTCTGGTTCTGCGTGATTTCTACTATCTCCTTCCTGCCAGTAGGACAACCTCTGTCCATGTGATTTCCTTCCCTTTGTCTTCTCTACTGAGACACTGTGTTTATCAATTCTGTTTTTCTTCAGATCTTTTGGCAAATGGGAGTGTGTTTGCCTCCTGACCATCTCATCACCACTGAGCACTGTAAGAAAGATTGACAAAAAAGAAAATATCAGTGTCTGCATTGGCTTCACCTCACCCGCACAGACTTTCAGATGGCCGTTGTTGTTCGAGCCACTTTCCTTATTCGATGTCACTC